GTATGCAGTGTAGTGGGGATGAAGATGAACACGCTATACCAAAATATACTGGACAAAATAAGTTAGGGATATTGGTATTTTTATGATTGATATTTTATCAGTGTGTCAATGAATAAATAGATCATTATTCATAATTTCAAAACATTTATCCCTAATTATTTTTGTCCAGTATTGATAATAAATATTGTCAATGCACTGATGGAGACATATATATGTTAGGATATATAGTGATTAGCATTTGGAGTTACATGTAAATTCAGATAGTGTCTGTCATGGATTGGTCAAGGAAAGGAACTCCAGTAATGTATGATCGGAGAACTGAACATAGACTTTTGCAAAGTTGCCAAGTGAACACATTAACCACTAGACTACCTAGACTAACAACTAGTCTCTGAAATGACCATATTTTGCTGAAAAAAGTTCATAGTAAAAAAATATAATATAATGAAAAGGAGCCCTGAAGCTGAGGAAATCTAGACTTGCCACATTTTCTAGACTTGCGTGGGCTTTCTTGGATATATTTGCTTCAGGGTCTGTATGACAGACTATAGACTACCCTATGTTCCATGATACGATTTGGTGATATTAGTCTGGGCAGCTGTTGTCAGTGTGAGATTAGCCGTTTCTCTCTTGACAAGCAAGCCAGTATTGCCTCCGAGTTCTTGCAGAACTGGTTCTTTAAGGAATGAGTTTATCCTGGGGTTATCAAATAAACTTGTCAGTTATCTTTAAGGAGACGCTTATATTGGTTTGTTGATAATTTGCTGACTGGAGGAAGGATGCAGGAAGGGGTTGGACTGGATCGGCTCAGTCAGACCTTCATCTCTGGCAGCTGGCAGATTGGAATTACTTACCCCTGAAAATGATAGACTGGTTGAGTAGTGTCTTACATAAATGGTGGCCTGTTTGACAGTTTCATTGTCAAAAACATAAAGTTTATATGGTGTGGTTTAGATGATATGTTTGTTTCATAGGTTTGAGAACCAGCTGGAAGAACTAGAACTTGTTACTTCTGGTTCATTGGGTGGCCCAGAACAGCTCTTCACTGTGCAGAGTTGCCTCCCTTGGGCACTCCAGCGACCTTCGGTTATGTGTTTGAAACCCAAGTATATGTTGCCAGGTTCATCAAACCACACCCATGCTTGCGGGTTTCACCACAGTGGGTAATATCTAAGAGCAGCATAACTTTGAGGTTTTCCTCCAACATCAAGCTGCCATACCAACATTTTACTGGAACACTCACTCACTCACTCACTCACTCACTCAGTGACTCACTCACTCTTTGGCAGTATGTGACAGGCATATTACTGATGGAAATTGTGATCAGTATATGAAAAATTACCTTATGTAACCTTATGCTAAACTGAATTACTCCAGCAGATGATACAATGTTTATACAAAGTGGGGATTTGGCTGACTGTGTGTAATTGAACCTTGATAGTGTAGTGAGATTGTTCATACTAGCAACCACTGGCTCACCTGACCCAGATTTGGTTATTTACCTGCTGTCATTTTACTGGACTATGACCAAGTGCAGTATAAAACAAAAACGTCAAAATCATTGTAATGAAAAGTACTTTCATATCACTATGGTTTCATTTGAAGCATTTATAAAAACGTTTCTCTCAGCTATGATAAGAAAAGGTCTAATTCATTATAGCAAATAGCAGCTCAGTATGTGCTGCCCTTCTAATGTATTTGTTGTTTGGTTTACATGGTATAGACTTGTACTCCATGTAGTAAAGACCCTATAACATCCTGACCCATATCTTCTTGTTTAGTTAGGTATGTGCTTATCTTGTTAAAGTGGTCAACTGACATGGTTTCCCAGTATGAGGTTAAGAGTACTCAAGTAATCTGCTCCCCTACATCCATATATTGTACCCAGTGCAGCTGTAGCTCTCTTTCAAGTGTTCCTGTGTCAGCTAATGATTATGAAAAGAGTTCTTTACAATTCTGACACCTATCTCACCTGTAGAGAATCCCTTCAAGAGCTGTACCCAAATTTCACCTTTGGAGAGCAGCTTTAAAAACCAGACCCAAATCTCACCTTTGCAGAGTAGCTTTAAAACCAGACCCGAATCTCACCTGTAGAGAGCTCTATAAGAGTCTTGCCCAGAACTCACTAGTAAAAAGCTGCTTTAAGAGCCTTACCCAAATTTCATCTTTGGAGAGCCCCTTTAAGAGCCAGACCGAAACCTCATTTGTAGAGAGCCCCTCTAAGAGTATGACCCATATATACTGGCCGACTTGTATCTGTACTTGGCTCCCTGGTTTCAGTGCTGGAACATGTGGTATTATCTCTGTGGATAGAGACATGTTAATGTAGATCGCCACCTTCCACCTCCGGGAGCCGTGGCTTTGATTGTTTTCTCACCTGGAACCTGGCTGGAGGAGTAGGTGTGGACAGGCTTTATGAGCGGTTCAGTTTCAGAGGGGCCATCTTGGTGCTGATATGTGGAACATCAGCTTTAGTTATATACCATGCTGCTGGTTGAAATACCAACGTACACGTAGGCCATCTTGGTTCTGATCTGGAATACCAGCCTTAGTTGAATACCCTCTTGGTGCCAGCCCTTCCACAATATGGTCTATGATGTATGCCCATAAGCCCTTGCTAAATACTATCTAGGTGCTGATGTCTGGTATGACAGCCCCAGTAGTATACCATCTCAGTGCTGCTGTCTAGAATATCAGCCCCAATTATATACTTTCTTGGTGCTGCTGTCTTGAATATCAGCCCTGGTTTATATATGTGTATATTCTCTGGTCACTGCTGTCTGAAATATATTCCCTGCTTCTGTGGATCGGACAGATATTTCTTAATGTAGTTTGTCAGCTATGATAGAAAAATTTGGCCAGTCAGCGTTTATGTGTGTTTGAAATATTTCCAGTTGAACTGAAGGTTATTTTCTGATAATGTCGATTTCTGTTTTCTGAAGTTCAATCATCAACAAAGATGGAAAATGGGGTTTTCCTGGACCCCTGTTATGTCATGCACTCAGTGTCTCTGCAGTCAGTTTCTGTTACTAGAAAAACAACACTGATACAAAGGAATTTCCAGCAGTGTTGAACATGCAACATCACTACAACCCAAACACTGAAAATTACAAAGGCTTGTCAAACAAATGTTTATAAACGTGACATGTGAACACCCATGATATATACAAATTCATCATTGTATTTTGACACCCAGCCCCTTCAATACTGCTGGATCTATCCTTGTGTTACAGTGTAGTTTGTCATGTAATCACCTCTACAGGCTCCACCCTTTAGTGTTGGGCAATATGTATGATATCGTCCCTTCTGGTAGATACTGGTCTCACCATGTTATATTCCCAGACAGTCTTGTATACAATGTGCAGGTACAAAGGCCTGCAAGGAAAACAACATACTCGAACTCCTTACTCCAATGTAATAGCTTATTTTCATTCATTTCCTCAGGGAAAATGTCAGACTGGAATGGATCTGTGAGAAAGTCTGGCATTTAAAAGTTTGAGCACAAGGGGAGAACATGTGCCACATTAGCTGAAAGGGACAAGCCTTCTTACACAATCTGTCAGAGTCTGGGGGATAAAGCCGATTTATAATTTATTGTTTTATGAGGGTGTAGATCTGGAGGCTGAATTAAGTGGCATGGAAGGAATTCTGCTGAATGTGCTCTTATTCTCTCCCTTTCCAGGGGGCTGTTATAGCTCATATTGACACAGTGGTTCTGATGTCAAACAGTTTGTTGTACTTGTTGTGCAATTACAACAATGTTGAAACCTTCAGATTATGTTCCCTGGTATTTTGTTAAGCATCTGGACTGGAGACATTGGTGTCAGCGGGGATGGAAGTGGCTGTTATTCAACTCACTGGTGTCAGGAAATATCCAGGATATCTACTAAATATTCTAGAGCAACATGTCTCTATTTACAAATTCAAACCCCGAGAAAGCCCAAGCCAGTATCAGAAACCGAAAATAACAAGAACATAATACAATCAAATGTCAACTTATCAGGATTTTTTTATGGATTATAAAACTACAAAACTCATACAAAATTGAAGCATCTGTTATTTTTTGGGTGAGGAAGATGAGTGAGTGGAGCATCGAGGATACTTTAAAGATCTGTACTCCCTGGAACTTTTCAGACTCCTGTAAATATCTTCACAAACATACCTACTAAACACGTCCAAAATTCATTTTTCATAAGGATGTTAAATTTAAGATTAATATCGATATTTTGTTAACCTGATATTGTGAAGCAATGGACAGACCTCGCACATCTACAAATTAATGCATTCAGATCCCTCCCTTCTTTAAAGTAGGGTGTACAACATCTATATCATTACTGTTGAGAGTTTGCTCATGCAATACAGAGTTGTCTACCATTACCACGTGTACCAGTACATGCAGATCACACTACTACTGTTCATATAAGCCTATTTCATGCATGATGGCTGGCATCAGTATGATTCACAAATTATATTTACACCCAAGAAATATATGAAATATGGAAAAAGTCAATTTCACAGTAGGGGACACCAGAAATGGATTTCACACATTATACCCATGTTGGGAATCAAACCCAGGTCTTTGGCGTGATGGGCACTTTAACTACTTGGCTACCCCACCGCCTTACTTCCATATAAGAAAGCCTCCTCAGAAATACATGCACATCCATGTACAGTAGAAGAGCTCCACACACTAAACACAGTTACAATAAACACTGCAAGACCTCAGGCAATACTGGTTTGCTTGTCAAGAGAGAAACGTCTAGTCACCCACTGACAACATTTCTGGTGTCCCCTACTGTGAAATTGTTGGAAAATTACTAAAAGTGGCAAAAAACTACACTCACTCACTCACTCACTCACTCACTCACTCACTCACTCCTCACTCACTCACACACTCACTCAGGGAGACTCACTCCATACACATTGTGTCTGGAGTGGTTTCACAGTAGCTCGAGGCAAGTAAACATTGTAAATAACTGTCTTTTCTGTTTCTTTTTCAGTGTATTTCCGAGTGAGTTTGAACTTCTCGGATCTTTCGTTCAGTGATGAACTTAAGAACCGATACAGTCCTGAGTTCCAGTCAAGAGCTCAGCAAATTGCGGAGGCCATCGAAGCTCTGTTCCGCAACACACCAGGCCAGCAGCTTGTTACTGTTCTGGGATTTAGGTAAGTTGAAAATAAATCATATTCTGTGTATCGACAAAATGTTGGAGTAGAAAAATGATAATAAGGCCAAAAGAATCTCTTTAGAGACAGTTTTCTGGGAAATGAAGTGAATAGTTACTTAAAAGAACATGAGTGACCTGTAAATGAATAACTTGGAGATGAAGAGGACAGATGCACTTGGAGACATATTGTGAAAATAAGTGGCTTCAAGAACTGGAGATAACCGGCTACAAGAACAGGAGATAACAAGATTAAAAAACAGGAGATATCTGGCTTCAAGAGCTGTAGGTAACTGGCTTCAAGAACTGGAGATAACCGGCTTCAAGAACTGGTGATAACCCGGTACAAGAACAGGAGATATCAAGATTAAAAAACAGGAGATATCTGGCTTCAAGAACTGTAGGTAACTGGCTTCAAGAACTGGTGATAACCGGCTACAAGAACAGGAGATAACAAGATTAAAAACAGGAGATATCTGGCTACAAGAGCTGTAGGTAACTGGCTTCAAGAACTGGAGATAACCGGCTTCAAGAACTGGAGATAACTGGATTAAAAGAACAGGAGATATCTGGCTTCAAGAACTGTAGGTAACTGGCTTCAAGAACTGGAGATAACCGGCTTCAAGAACTGGAGATAACTGGCTTATGAAATGGGTGTAACCAGTTCAAGAACTGGAGATATATGGGTTCAAGACCTTGGGATAACTGGGTATGAAATTAGGGATAACTGAACTATATTTTATGTTTGGGATTACCGGTACACTTTTCTCAGTAAAGTAAAGATGTTAGTTATAGCGGAGCCAGCAGTAACTGTTATTGACTTGATTCAGGATCCAGGGATGACCAGAAACCTGAGTCAGGAACTGAAGATATGACTGTTAAGTTAATAACTGGAAGGGGCGATGGGGTAGCCTATGGTTTAAGCTTCCGCTCATCACGCTGAAGACCCATCCCTGGTGTCCCCCGTCTGTGATATTGCTGAAATATTGCTAAAAGCGGTGTTAAACCATAGTAACTCACATACAACTGGAAATATGATAGCTGGGTAATTTGGTTGAAACATTCATGCTTATTTATCATTAAAATGTCATATGGGAAGGGAAGGTCACTTCCCACACGAAAATGTTAATTCATGGAAATATTCCTTCCCATGCCCATAAGTGCATGGTCCAGATCAAAATGGTCCTCCTCAGATTGTGGTAGCAGACATGGAGGGTGTGTGTTGAGGATTACTCATGGTATGTAGGAAATAGTACAAACTGATGGCTCAGCAAACTGCCCACACTTGCCTTGTATGACCCAGCCTGTCTGCGGCAATCCAGTGCCTCCAAATCACACGCTTCTCACACTGAATGGCCATGGAGACACGACAGCAGATAGATCATCAAATTACAGATTACCTCCCTTGTTTATTTACCATCCTTGCTGCCATCTTTGATGGAAAACTGAGATGTGTGATATTTCAAGAAATTGGGATATCACACGTATCGTATCGGTTTCCTGGGAATTCCTCCCGTTTTACAGTGCACATGCTGCCTGCAATTGTTATGACTTGAACGTTCTACTTGATGACCTGAGATAACCGAACTGCCCAGGAGGAACTGAGCTGGCAGATATATTGAGCTGCACTGATGTTTTCTGGAACTATTTGGAAAACTGCCATAGTTTAAGCAAGGAATATGTGGAGAACTTGATGTTTTTTACATAGCTGGAGGAGGTAATGGTGCTGTAGGCTGGTGTGAAGATCATAGGTAACATGGAACATGTATGGGTTGCATTTGGGCAGGAAGAAGAGAAGAGAAATTGCCCACAGCAGGGACCAGAGTCTCTACAAACTACTATAATATCAAGATAGATATGAACAAATCTGAGTAAACATGTATGTAGAAAATATTGAATACCCAGACTAATAGGCATGGAAGATATATTTTTGGAGCAGATAGGGCCAGATTTGGTACCAGAATTTACTAAAATCTTAATTGTATTTCCATATTTTGTGAGCTAAAGTATGATTTGGTTCATGAAGACTTGTGCACAGTTTCAAAGCTAAGTAGTTTCCAAATCCTGAGTTCAGAAGCAGAATTTACATTTTGCTCTTCTGAGTTATATTTCAAAACTGATAATAAGTGAAAAACTTTTTAAATTGTTAAACAAATCTATGAAAGTTCATCATATAGTATACATTGTTGCAACAGAACATTTTTCACTTTAAATTCACTTAACTCTTGCTCACATGGTTGTTACGACATTTATACACCAGTCTTTATGGTCACTGTGACATCACAATGAAGAATCCGTTAGGATTCTGTGTGTGAAAGAGTCACCACTATATAGACCACTTAGTAGGGAGTACAGATGTGAAGGAACAAGTCAGTTCATGATACACTCCCAGCATAGTGATGGAATACTGACCTGTTATATAACACAGATCACCAGGTGTATGTTTTCCCCTGGCTTGCATTAGGTCTGGAATGTTGAGGTTATGATGCTCTTGATGTTTGTTTATAACAATGTCAAACTTTCCAGTCTTTATATCAACTTTTTTTAAATTTGATTACAAAAATAATGCGTTAAACATCAGGAGATGGGTTTTTGACAGGCTCTGCAAAATTCAATTATGTCGTAATCAGGAATCTGTGAGGGCAAAAATTAATGATTGCCACACTGAAACATGCCACTCAAAGAAGTTGCCACACTGAAGTCACTGCTCCCACTGGAGCCGGGGCTCGCTTCATAAATTTGTTAAAACATGTCTGACAAGTGCAGCTTTTTATGTAAAACACCTGTTAATGTTCGTTAGTCAGGTGTGATATCTAACCTGATATCAGAGTATGGGGAGTGGCTCTCCCATAGAAGATTGAAGGAACATGTTGGCCGTGGCTAGTAGTGGAGTTAAGGGAATAATGTTAGCAGATGGTGCTCCTTAAAGTCTGTGATGATGCAAGGTAGATAAAGTCTGTCTGTCAGGTGCATGCTGCAGGAGAAGTATGCCTTATCTTTTTCATTTAGTCATCATTATGTGGCATTGGATGTTTCAGGTTTTAGGAGGCCAGGGGTAGTTTAATGGGTACTGCAACTGTTTGTGTAGAGTTATCTCCCTTAGATGCCAGGGTGACCTGGCCCCGATTTCTCGAAACAAACTTAAGTTTTTACTCAAAAATTTCAAACTGAGTTTGACAATTTGAAACAGATGAATTTTTAACTCAACTGCATTTTTTTAAATAAAAATGCCCAAACAACTTAAGTAATCTGTCCACCAAACTCAAATTGTCTACTATGTTTGAGTTTAATATCGACTTTAGTTCATTCTGGGAAATGCACTTTCTCAAATTTGAGTAAAAACTCTAACTTAAGTCGAAACTCAGACTTAAGTTTGTTTCGCGAGAAATCGGGGCCTGGTCTTGGACTTGTCTCAGACTTTCCCTGGCTGTGACTGATTTATCATCTCTTCACTTGTGATCATCATAGTGGTAAATGTCAGTTAGGTTGGTTGGTTTGCTGTTTAACACCACACTCAGCAATATTCCAGCTATATCGCAGCAGTCTGTAAATAATTGAGTCTGACCAGGCAATCCAGTGATAAACAGTATGAGCATCAATCTTAAATGTCATCCCTCTGACTGATATTGCAATATAATTGTTCAAAAGGACATTACACAGTGCATAGGTAGGGGTGTTTAATGGGTATTGGGTGTATTGCATGGGGATCAAAGTATCACATATTAATGTCATTGTGACTCGAACATTCTATCCTGAGTTTCTTAAGGATGAAAGTAAGCTGAATATGTCTATGATTGTCAGTCCCATTGTAGGGTTTTGTGAGGTCTGTAAGAGGTTGTAAAGGTTTTAGGATTGTGAGATCAATGGTTGGGTTTTGTAAGGTCTGTAAGAGGTTGTAAAGGTATTAGAATTGTGAGATCAATGGTTGGGTTTTGTAAGGTCTGTAAGAGGTTGTAAAGGTATTAGAATTGTGAGATCAATGATTGGTGTAAGAGGGTGTGTAAAGGTATTTAGAATTGTGAGATAAGGTCTGTAAGAGTATTAGAAGGTTGTAAGGTCTGTAAGAGGTTGTAAAGGTATTAGAATTGTGAGATCAATGGTTGGGTTTTGTAAGGTCTGTAAGAGGTTGTAAAGGTATTAGAATTGTGAGATCAATGGTTGGCTTTGTAAGGTTTTGTAAAGGGTCTGAGATCAAAGAGGTTGTAAAGGTATTAGAATTGTGAGATCAATGGTTGGGTTTTGTGAGGTCTGTAAGAGGTTGTAAAGGTATTAGGATTGTGAGATCAATGGTTGGGTTTTGTAAGGTCTGTAAGAGGTTGTAAAGGTATTAGAATTGTGAGATCAATGATTGGGTTTTGTAAGGTCTGTGAAATGTTGTACAGGTGACATGATTGTGAGAGCTATGGTAGGGTTTGTAAAGACTTTATGATTCTGGGAGTGTTTTCACAACCTCCAGGCACCTGTGAGGGTTTCGTAAGGGCTATAAGAGGTTGGGAATGTATCCATGGCTGTCATTTATTTAAGTAAGCACACCACACATCTGTAATGAAGACTGAATCAGCACTGGTTCCGGTATTGGCACCCACTCAATCACGACACCACATGTTCCATGTCTACAGAGAGTCTGTAGACCTTGTGTATTGTTTTAGACATTCAGGCTGGTTTAATGGAGGACAGATTGGTCCCCCACCAAAACCACACCTTCTCTGGGAGTGAATGAATAATGCAGGAGTGGGCATGAAACCAGTGCATTGATTATAGCAGGGGATTAGGAATACTTCATTATCTACTCTGGAAAAGCTAGCTATAATAGACATGTTAATTATTGCCTAGGATTAGGAATACTTCATTATCTACTCTGGAAAAGCTAGCTATAATAGACATGTTAATTATTGCCTAGGATTAGGAATACTTCATTATCTACTCTGGAAAAGCTAGCTATAATAGATATGTTAATTATTGCCTAGGATTAGAAATACTTCATTATCTACTCTGGAAAAG